AGTGTAACAATTTATTCTTTAACTGGTCCAGGCCACCTGTTCCCTATGAGTTATGAGTTTACCTTCAGTATTTTTCCCCATACAAAACAAAGAACTGTACACAAAATTACTTATGATCACACAAAACAAAGATTATCTTTTTTGCATAAAAGACTTCAACAATTCATAAATTATATCTTTTTAGGCTACACAACCCACATGACCAGCTTTTAAGCACACAATGTTCTGATATGTTCTCTCTGACTTCAGGATTCAATTTTCCAGGTAAGTATAATTTTGATAGATGAAAACTGCCCATACTAAATGATTTACTGCTACAGCATAATCTGTTTGCAAATATAGAACATTTACACTCTGTACTTTAACCTGTCAATGTCATTCACTTTTACCTTGCAATGATTGAAAAGGAAAAAAAAAAACCACAAAGACATTTCCCCACTCCTTTTGCTTCCAAATGTTGTAGTCTCAATTTTCTAATTAAATTCTAATGTGAGGCAACTGCAGTACATTAGTCCACCAAAAAGCAAAAAAACTCCATTTTCCTTCATTACCCAGGATTGAGAATATAAAAGCACCAAACAAATTTATGACAAAGTTAGAGCTCTTAGTTGTTCTCTTAGATAGCAAACTCAAAATAATAGTTACTATCCATTAACATCTCTTACAGGAAAGAAATTTTAATTTTTATTACATTCAAAGGAAAAAAGTTTCATCCAGTAACTGAAAATAATTTTAGCAAGAGGGGAAAAGGAATCAATCAATCTTCCTGAAACATATTACTAAGAAGTTTTTGTTTTGTGTAAAGGCTTTTGCTAAAAGTGGCTAGTGATAAGACCATGGCTACCAAACTAAGTTTCTTTCACAGAAAGTTGCTATTCCTTTGAGTGTTTCTGAAAATTTCTTAGGAAAGTCTTATCACTCTAAAGTGTCTCCAATTATATACAAATTATTTGTTGTCACATAAAAATCTAGGGCAGGAAAAAAATCACTAATAAACAAAGGGAAGATGATAGGTTTTTTGTATTTTTTTTAACTGACAGAGTTAACTTTTAAAATATATTTTTATTGTTTTCAGAGAGGAAGGGAAAGATAGAAACATCAATGATGAGAGAGAATCTTTGCTCAGTTGCCTCCTGCACGCCCCTACTGGGGATCGAGCCCACCAACTCCGGCATGTGCCCTTGACCGGAATCAAATCTGGGATCCTTCAGTCAAAGGCCAATGCTCTCTCTATCCACTGAGCCAAACCAGCTAGGGCTGGGGGTTTTATTTTGGGGTTTTTTTAAGTAGCCTTGGTAAATCCAACAAATACACTATTTAGAATCAGTACAGAACAACAAAGTCCTCTCAAGAGAGTATATGTTTACAGTACTTAACAGAAATACAGACCTAAGAATTCCATTCTCTCACTTTAATAGATTGGCTTATTCATAACCAAGTCCTACATCAATCTTGTTTTACCAGCTCCCTAATACTTAAAATGCAGTTATAAGTTTAGTCAACAAGTGGTTGACTAATTTTAATTTTTAATAAAAACACCAGCAATAAGAAGGTATATTAAAGCAGTCCTGTTTGGAGGTTATGGTTCCATTACAATCACACTACCACTGTGCAGATAATTACCGTGTAAGAACATGTGGAAGATAACCTTGAGGTGCACTTTTGTCTGTTGAAATTGGATGTGATGTTTAAAAACTGCCTAAATTCACCTGAATCAAAGGTATGGGGAATAAAATAGGTGATTAAACTGAGTACTTGTGCTACAGATTAAGTTGTGACTATTAAGATAACTCTACCTTTTTATGAGACTCAAACTGTCTTTAAAACAATTTGGAAAAGACTTCCCCAAACCTTTTGGATAACAGTAGGTCTGTTAGAATTCCAAGAGGGCCTCTCAAGTTGTCTGCCTCAAATAACAGTAATTTTTTGAATAATTCATAAGTCTTACTTCTTTGGGTGGAAAGTTGAACTACATGCATGGCCTCAGATACTCCGTCCAATGCTCAATCTTTACAAACATAGTCACACCTCATACATACAAACAAAATAAGTCCTCCACACCACACCGTATGAGCAATGGGCATCTTATAACATGGGAACATCACATAATAGAGCACATAATTTGTTTCACCTAAAGTATAATACCACTAAAAGTATAATTGAGCAAATACAGAAGCCAGCTTCTGGATCTTTAAGAATCACTTTAATATTATTGGAGGCGATTAATATTTCTGTTACAGACTTACTAGTCTGCAAATTAATTCAAGTCAGTAGTTATTAGACAATAAAATAACTGTACCAAAGGATACTTCTAAATAACTTAAAAGAAGTTATGACCTTAAAGTTTCTAAAAATTATTTTCCATACAAGTTACATGATAAAATAATTTAAACATATGATTGATTTCGCAAGTTTTTAAAAAAAATTTCTTTGAAAGTTATGAGGAAATATTTTTCTTTGTCCTGTGCCTTCTTTCTCTTTCCCAGCCTATTTCTGTTCTTCTCATTTATAATATTATGAATGAAACCTCAAGAATTCAAGGTGAAAGACGTAATTTTGCTTCATAGAAACCATGGCCTACACTGTATAGTAAAACAAAATAAAACTTGGGTAGAACCAAACTTTTTTCAAAAAAATACAGGCTGAGAAGAACCACCACCCACAAATTAGGATTTATAATAAGATTATCTTTGGAAAGTAGATATTTCCTCTCTACTAGAAATAGCAAAACATTCCATATTCTTTTCTTTCCCAATTGCAGGGTTAATTAGGATACGTTCCACCAGGGTGCATGAAAAAATTTCTAAGCCAGAGGTAT